CCTCTCTGAGAGCAGCTTGGAAGAGAGGGGCGGGGTCAGCATAGCTCATTAACATTTAAAGGAAAATGCTACAAAATCGGCTTGATCTGAAAAGAGCTGTTTTTGACAGAGTAAAAGGTGTTTTTTAAACTACAATTGAGAAATTTTAACCAAACTATGTTACAGACTTTTCATTAAGACCCTAAAGAATCATATCAACTTGTGGAAAATGGGCATCCTATGACCCCTTTAAACAGGCTTCAAAAACCTTTTAACCTCAGATGTGTTGATACCCACCTATTTCGCTGTAGATAATTACTTTTTTTAACTGCTCCATCAGACACTTTTCAAGTAACCACTGAACCACATACACAGGGTTGTGGGATATCATAAATGGGGAATGATATGTCCAATGTGTCGACCAAATGGAGGCATTTCAGTAGTAGGGGGCGCACCGAATAGTGAACTAGTTTTGCTGCTAGTCGACGCGTTGGATGCAAACCAACAGTACACATTTTGCATGTCTTAATCTGACTTATCTATTTCAGGTGTTGGTGACTCTATTATAAGCTGAAAAGTTCAATCAGGTGTGTTTGAGTAGGAAGAGTTCAAAAATGTCTATTGTACTTTCAGGAACAGGGTTGGGGGAACACCGGGGTAAAAAGCACAATGGCCATCTGAGATGGGTGATGGGTTGTTCAATCCAGCTCATGGAGAGGCACCTTCCTGCAGAGTCTGACAGAAACTTAAGGCTGGAATGCAACTATATTATTTTTTCCTAGAATTTGTTGCCCCAATATACAGTGGTGGGGGGAGTGGATGCTAGTTGCCAACAGTCAGAACCAGTCTGCAGATTTTGTAGACTGGTTGAGTGTGGCTGGAATTTCAAAGAAAATGTTTTTTTCTTTATGGGCACAAATTTTTATGATTCTAGGGGCACAGATGTATTTTTTAGCTTCAGAATATGATTCCATCCAGTTGGAAGGTATCAGACTTGTTTAATAGTTTGAGCAAATTTTTGAATAAATATTGTTTTCATTTGTCATGCGTATGCTATCAATAAAGCATGTTTCTATGAAAGTCTGGTAGTGTGATCCTCAGTTGTTAAAGGGATAGTTCACCCAAAAATGAAAATTAGCCCATTATTTA